ACATTTTTTGTAATGGACACTTGTATACTTTTTAACATTGGTATACTTCACACATTCTTGCTTAAGGTTTTTAACATACAGTTAACCATATATATATATATATATTATATAATATATTATATATATATATATATATATATATATATATATAACATTAGTATAAAAATCTTCATAACAGTTCAACCTCAAGTTTTATTGATCAAAACTAAAATCCACATAGTATGGCATGTGGTCTTGTAGATGTTGAAGAAGTGGCAAATTATCCTCAAACACTCATGTCTAAGAAACTATGACACAATCCGGTAGCCCGATTGGGGAAACTTCATTTGGAGATAGACATTGTTGCCATAACATAACTTTGATTTGTACCTTGGAATTGGCATCAAAAGTGAGGAATGAGATTGAAATTACCATTATACCACTTAGTTGAAGCCATCTCTTAGATTCAGATTGAGATTAGCCTGATATTACCATTATACCACTTAGTTGCAGGCCATTTAATTTTCTATGAAAGAATCAGAAATTCACATCTGAAAATTGACATTCATATGAAAACAGAAAAACATAATAAACATACAGATTAGTGAAACCAAAATCGAAACTCACCAAATCTCTATCAGATCCAGAGGTAACTAAATACCAAATTTCAACATATAACTGGGAAGGATCCAAGTGCGATTTCCGATTTTACCAAGATAGAGAAAAAAAAACAAAGAAATTACCTGAATGATCGATGCTAGCTTAGGAGAGGCAGAGGTCGACGGCTTGTGGCGGCTCTGCCTGAGGAAAACGACAGTGCAGTGACGACCTCGACGGAAGAAAACTGAAGGAGAGGAAGTCGGCGTTGCTGCAAGTTGAACCAGTGGTGGGAGAAGTTTTCGCGTCCAGAGTTAAGAATGAGAAGAAGGTTTTTGACATGAGAAGGAGAGAAAGGGCAACTAAGGATATTGCTATAGTTTACAAAAAAAGAAAATCAATACCTGTTGATGATGTTGCTGTTGATCACGGTTACTCCTCTGTTGCTTTTGATCACGAATGGAACTCTCGTTGCTTCGTCGAGGGGAGGTTATCGAAGGGAGGGGATGAAATCAGAATCTCAGTCGCAACTTTTGCGGGGCAACTTTGGTTTTTTTTCTTTTTCTCAGTCCATCAAATAGAAAGCAAGGACCGAGTTTGGTGTTTTTATTGGACCGAGTCCACGTAATGGACCGAGTCCCTACATCTATAATCTCTATCAAAAATGCCAATTGTTATTTTATTGACCCAGTCCCTCTTTGGACCCAGTTAGATACCATATCAAACAACCCCTAAATTTGTTGTATACTTTCTGATTTTTAGTTCCTCCACGTAATTTTAATAGTGCCAGAAAATAATCAGATAAGATTAGTATATAGAATTTTGGAGTTTGATTAGATTCTAATTCTTATATATAATTATAATGCCTATAAGTTAGGGATAAACAAGTAAATGGTTTTAGGTCCCGTTTGATAGTTTATGTCTGGGAAAGTGATGTCTGGTAAAGTGCTGTCTGGGAAAGTTTTTTGATTGGGAAAGAAACCATGCTGTTTGATTGTACATCTGATTGATTGTGCTGAATGATGAAAAAAAGTAATAATTCAATAAAAAATAAATTTAAAAAAAGTTATTTAAAAAAAAAATAATCCAAGAAAGAAAGAAAGAGGCGGGGTTTGGTGCATAATTGTCTTTCCAACCCATTCAGCTAGAAAGATATGCTTTTGGGGCTTTCTGGGAAAGACATAGCTTACCGGGAAAGACCCCTTTTTTGTGCAAATCAAACAGTCTTTCCGGTCTATTCAGCCAGAAATATCTGTTTGGACCTGGAAAGATGTGTATCAAACGGGGCCTTAGATATAATTATTCATTTCTTCCTATTCTAATAAATGAATAAGTTTATTCTCCTATTGACAAGTGTCACAATATTACAAATCCTCATTAATATTATATGCAACATATTTTGCCACATGTCAACCTATTAATTCTTCTTTTAAATTTTAAATTTTAAATTTTAAATTTTAAATTTCTCACACTAGTTAAATTAAATTAATAATTGATTTTTTATTTCAAATTTCAAATTTTAAAATTCACACTCTAATTACATTAAATTAATAACGTTAGAATAAAAAATAAAATAAAATTCATATATATTATAAGGTTATATAATTTAATGTATTTATTTAAATCAACGATTATAATTTTATATAACTAAAAAAATATCTCTTAAATAATAATTTATTTGAAATAATTGATTAAAAATTTTAAATTTTTACTATGAGATTTTAATTAATTTTATAACCGTGATTCTCACGGGTTATAAACTAGTTATTGAATAAATAAAATCTTCTAATAGGATAATTATTCGTTATACGCGTTAAATGCTATATAAATATTTATATAGTATATACACGTTGAATGGAAAAATAGTATGACTATATATTATTTGTAGGAAATCTTATAAATTTATCGTGAGCGATAAATTAACATTTTAAAAAGAAATTATTTAGGAAAAATAATCTTAATGAAAGTTGTAGTAATCGTAATGACGATTCTGTGGGTATAAAGACCGCCCAAATTTGACTTTGTATGAAGAAGTTATGATTTTTCAAAATTCTGCGTTCAATCAGACATAACAATGTGTGTCATAAAAACTCAAATAGAGATCGGTTGCTTTTTAGCCAAATCATTGTAAAGAGGAATCGAAGTACTTGTAAATACTAATTTGTCGATATAGCGAACGTCGAGAACGGAGCTCGTATAAAGAAGATACGAATTTCGCAAGGTCTTTTACAATGTTATTGTTATAAAATGTAAAATAGAAATAGAATGTGAATTAGATGACGAGGTCCAAATGAAAGGTGTAGTACTTGTCCATGCAAAACTGGGGATATAAAGAACATCGAAAACGGAGCTTGTATGCGAAAGATATTATTTTTCGAAGATTTAAAATTTTACCCGGCATGAGCGACGCAGCACCAGCCAGAGTTTGGCACGTGCCAGTTTAGGAATCGAATACTTGTCGCATACACATAGGTGCGGCGTGCTTATGTCATGGTCACAACCAGGCCTACCCCCTAATCAGCCTATAAATAGTGAACAAAATGGCTCATTTCTCACACAAAATCTTCCAATTTTCTCTGGAAACTCTTCTCTAGCCTCGAGCCCAATATTCTCAAGTTTCCGACTACTTTATCGAAGCGCTACGACGTCTAGGAGCCCGACGAAAAGAAGCTTTCGGAGTTGAAATTCTGCCCGGGACTTTCCAAACTTTTTCAGAAAACTTTGTAAGTTAATTTGCACTTACTACGATGTAAGTGTAACCTATATTTATATTCATAGTCATTATTACAAATTTATAAATAAGATTTATCAGTGCTTCCAGTCATAATATTGATTGATCAACTTACGAGAGTGTTGTCTAGGCTAGATCTAGTGTGGTGTTTAGAATGGATTTTCCAAATAGTATACTCTGTATACCAAACGGATCCTACATCCGATATGATCTTACCTGGTCATTCCTTATCGGCTAGAAATTGAAGTATTCTTTGGTTTTATTGAAGAATCTGGGAAATGATTAGTATAATCGTTTAAATACAAACGAATACTAAATTAAAGTAATATTCGTATTTAGATCATTTAAAAGAAAAAAGCTGAAGGGTTAGTCAAGGAGCTAACTTTCTCGCGAATTGCGTTCTCAATCATGTGAGTGCATAGTGACTTTCATGAGCACGATTTAATATATACTTTAAGGACTAAATATATGTTAAAAGTTTCTTATTTGCATTCTATGTTGATAATATACTTTATATGTGAACTAAATGTGTGTTATCTGGAATATTTGTTAACTGTATATTTGATAATACTATATAACACTCTATGCGAGCCATATATGATTATTTAAGTTCTAAAGGTATTATTGGTTATACCACGTGACAATCTTAATATAAGCATTATTACTTAGAAAGATTTAAGGTATACCGAATACTTAGCGGTTGAATTATGTGTTGAATATAAACACCTGTAGGATGAAAGTATTTCATACAATAGGAAAAATGTTTTGGAAGTTGATTGCGTGCATTATAGTTTTGTCTAGTGATAAAGTAAGACTTATTAATGATGCTTAGTTTGAAGTAAGTTGAATAAATGCTTAGTTAGACCCTGTGTCGCAATGATATTGCATTTATAGGGAATTCATATTGAAAGTTGACTATTTATATTATATTCTGGTGTAGTTATAAACTAAGAGCTACAAGGGACTTTGAATTTAAAGTAAGGAATAAATAGGTAGTAATCATAAAACGGTTGTATACGAGATTGGAACATAGAGTAGTTGTTATAGACAACCATGTGGAACACTGACAGACTCATTACTTGTAGGTCAGAACACTGGCAACCAAAGCATATTTATCAACTTGTGATGCGGATGTTCTTCCTTCAAAAGAACACTGAGAGAGTTCATTAACTGCATCATCCTCATGTGCTTTAGCAACATTTTCCTCTTCAATTCCTTTCTTCTCTACATTCTCAGCAGAAAGTCATTGCTTCTCTTCCTCTATTTTTTTAAAGTTTCGTCTTCTTCTCTCGTGGCCATTTCAACTGCTTCTGCTGCAGCATCCCAACTTCCTCTTACAACAATTTCCTCTTCCATTTGTTTTTTGCCTTTTCAACATGTCATTTCTTTTCTTCCTCAATTCTCTTTTTTTCAACTTCCAAATATCATACCCATTTCAACTGCTTTGGAATTGTCTTCTTCAAATTTCCTTTTCTTAACTTCATTAGGTATAATGCTTCCGTTCCATTGTTCATGCATATCATATTGATGATCATCAACAAATTTGTCTTTCCATTCCCCAACTGCTTGCATATATGCTTTATTGGTTGTTTCTTGCTTACCTTTCAACATTTTTAATTGGTCATTTTCCTATACAAGTAGAGAATCTATTTGTTGAACAAAAATTGTTCCACCTATAATCAAATTGGTACCCTTAGTAAACAACAATTATGCATTTAAACAGTGCAATGCTTAAAGCTTGAACAGAGTTATAACCAGATAACTTACTTTTACCTTCACACATCCCATGTATATCAGTTACATCATGCGCAGATCCAATTGGATCATTAAGGCCCCCTACACCCAAAATTGCTTTTGTTTTCTGGTTGGTAGGATTTCCAAAGCTTCGTTGACCTTTTCTTTGTGCATGAACAAGCCTAACCTTTGATTGACGACTGGATATATGCAATAAATTCGCAGGAGCAATTTCATAAAGACTCGTGAATTTGGTACTATCAGACTCAGGTACTGCAATCTTGGTCTTCTTAATAGTAGTAGGAGGAAATCCATCTACTTTTCTCTTAAGAGTTGTTGATCTTGATCCTTTCATAACCATTGAGGCTTCATTCGAGGGTAAGTATACATCAACAACGCAGGTCTCAATATTTGGTTTGGTAAAATCATTGGTGAGAGCAAGACATTGCTTTAACACCTTTGAATTTCTTGGAATAAGTTGGAAGATGGAACTTATCGACTAGTGACTTGTCATTTGGGGTATAATGACTTAATGGAGTTGCCAAATAGTATTTTTCTTTGTCTGTTTTGTTTAAATCCCCACACAACTGGCTGATACAGAGGGCCAAAAAGCTAGCACTTGGAATTATCTTTTTGTCCTTCTTGATGAATAACTTGAAATCATCCCATAGAGAAGTGCGAACATCAACCGGCTTTTCATAGAATAATCCCCATAATACCTTCAACCACGATCATTTAGTTGAGTCCGTTCCCCCTGTTTTACCTGACAAACACCTCAAAATAAAGTGAATAGTAAAGTGCCCAATAATAGGAAAATTTCCTTCTTCCAGTTTTCAGGGTTAGGTTTGTTATCACCATAACCCATTTGTTTCATCATGACCACAAGATGATAATCAATATGGTTTTCATACACATGCTCAGTGGTTTAAAGAGGGAAACCAATGCAACTGAGAAACGTCTCCCGGTCCAAAGTGACTTGAGTTTCATCAACAACAGAGAAGACAATACAATCTTCATCAATGCAGACTGTAGCAGTTGAAAATGCCTTGTAGAGAAACCTCAATAGGAAATCTGTCTATGGTGTGAGTGAACAGAATGAAAGGTTTCCTCTTGATTATCTCAATAATTATGTGTAGCTTCAAATCATAATGAGATATATCAAAATCTGCAAAGTAGTTGCAATATCCAATCTTATAATCATCCAGTTGAATGTGGGAGGAAGATAGAGCCTTTGAAGATGTAGATGATTTCACCATTATGGAACGGTTTGAAAGACACTTACACAAATCACACAAATCTAAGGCTCGTAAGATATAAAGCAGAGCAAATGAATTTTTGGGCGCATAAATATTAATACGGAGAGTAACACATCTAGTTACCAATGATACATCATTGTGTTGAAACAATAAATAATAGATCGATAGATTAAATAACAGTAAAGTGAATCAAATAAGAAGAATGTAAGTCCCTAATCTGCTTGTGTATCAATCAGATCCGTTTGATGGTGCAGAATCCCAATCAAACGGATGATGTCAGATCAAATAGAAGAGAAGGAGAAGAAGAATAATATGAATCTCAATGTATTAATGAATAGAATGATGATCCTTACGTGAGATTCACACACACTTACACACACTCTTCTCTCTTGTTTCTCTCACACCTTAGAATGCACACACTTAAGCTCCTTGGCTCTCTCCCTCACATGCACTCCTCACTATATATATATATATATATATATATATGTATATATATATATATATAGATATATATAATATATATGATATATATATATATATATATGGACCTAAGGCCAAGCCCAAAATACAAATAATCCAATGCTAGACCAATTAATCCTATACAATTTTTGGCCCAAATAATAAAACAATAATGCTTAGAAAAGCAAAGTATAAACCATATTTTTGACCAACAATCTCCCCCTTGGTTTATAGCTTTATTTTCTTTTCTAAAATGACCCAATAAGCTCCCCCTAAGAAGTAGCTGGCTTTTCTTGTTAATCTTCATTGGAGCTTTGGCTTCAGCGTTAATCTTCAAATTCTTCACGACTTCAAGATGAACTTGATGAATCTTCAATGAATGACTTCATCTTGAGCAGTTGGGCTTTTCTTCAGAATTTGGCATTGAACTCACATTGGGTGAGGAGGCTTGACGTACTGATTCTTGAAAGATAGCGCTTTCAGCTTGAGAATCTTCAGAGAGAACGTCAGAGAGAACAAATCTTTTGGATCACTTCAGCAGGTTTAATATAGCAGCAGACTGATTGAGGAGGCTTCAATGCAATCCGTCACCTAATCTTCAAGTGCAGCTTCACCTTGCTTCTGGGGTTGAAAGATTGAATGTCGAAAGAATAATCTTCATCTCTTGCTGCTTCGAATGAGAATTCTTCAATGCTCACGGATGAAGCCTTGGCTCAGAAATCTTTGACACAAACTCCATGAGTTTCATCTTCACCTGAATTCACTTTTCAAGACAAAACAAAACTAAAAGAAAACTTAACACACAATATTTTTTGGATTTTTCATATTTTCTGAAAAAGAAATAAAACAGAAATAACACTATTTTTTTTTAAATTCTCCCCTAATATTTAAATTAGAAGAAAACTATGAACAAATTTAACAAAAATAAAAATGATATCTAACTTTAAGAGTGATTTGGGATCAAAGTTTTTAGACAACCTTTATCCGTTTATCAGTACCTCCCTTCATGAATAGATCTGGTCAATCGCCGGTATTGTGGTCCACTTAAACATGAGAGATTGTGACAAAATTAGGACATACTATACGTGACAAGAAAAAGTGATCCTAAGTTCCTAGATAATATTTCTTAAGGACCATTCAGCTGACGACGACCAAAGATATTGTTGTCCATCTAAATTGAGCAGCGAGATCTACAGACAACCTAGTGATTGTTCAATTTTAAATGTACTAGAACAGTTTCCCGCTTCCTGACATACCCCCAATAATCAGGAACTTCCAAAGTACTCCTTACTTAGGTGAGCAGACAATTATATATGAGAGAAGTCAGATTTAGAATGCATATGCTATACACCCAGGTCGGATCTCTTCCAATCTCCCAGAGGGTGAAACATATGACTAACCAGATTTAGAGGGATTGAGAAGTAGAATGGTGCATATGTGTGTACCAGGTCGGATGGTTATCACGCAAAGGAGACAAACATATGGCTAACAGACAGAAAGAATTGCATAGATAGAGGATGCAGAGAAGTAGAGTTGCATATGTTGCAGTCCAGGTCGGATGTATTTCAATCACGCAGAGGAGGCAACATATGACTAACAGAAGAAGCAAGAAAATAATTTCCTACAGACTACTTATTATCGAATTCCCCAGTCGCCCCATCAATACCGGAATTAAGGACAGAATCCGCACATCGAGGAAGAGTTAAACCACAGTTCTAGATATGGATTACTTTAATGTGACCGGTGGATTATCATGTATATCTCCCTGCTCAATCTATCCAAGCGTCGTATTGTCAGGCTAAATGGATCTATCTAGGTCAAGATTTGTCAAGTCTCTAGATTCCTTAAGTTCATTAATGCCTAGTCAAGTCCATTTTAATCTTTCGTGCCTACCAGCGCATCGAACACAGAGCCTAGACAATTCAGATTTAGTCCCTTACACAGATTCAGATTGCATGTTATCACATGATTATATCACTTCCCAAAACATCTCCCTCAAGCACATTCCATAACCAACATTTTTTTTTGATTTTTTGATTTTCTAATGTTTTTGGATTTTTTAAAATTTTAAAATTTTTGTTTTGTTTTTATTTCTCCCCCTAAATTTGTGCATAGGAGAGAAACGAAAGTAAACTATCCTAAAACAAAAATTAGTCTTTAAAGCGAATCAGCTTAAGAAAAACTCAGGAGTATAGAGAAGAAAACTCAAACCGTAAGTCACCGATTGAATTTGCATCCAGAAGGTCTGAGAACAGCACGCGTAATCTCAGAACAGATCCAAAAAATCTTCACATCGTTAAGCACTAACCCCGTTTGTGATCTCTTCCTTTCTTCCCTTCCAGCAAAAGGACACATACTCTCAAACAAAGATCTGAATGTTGTACAGTTGAGATATGTCCCCTATCATGTGCCTGGAACAACCACTACCAACAAACCGAAGTCTGATGATATGCCTCCATAGCTGCTCCTACACAGAGCGGGATTAGTTGGTCTTTGGAACCCAGTCCATTTTGAAACTGGGTCGACCTTTGTCATCCTTGGACGGTACTCTCTCCCATGACATATCCTGTTTATCACAAACAGAAGATGAAGAAATATTAGAGTCATTAGTTGATTTGGGAGAGTGAGCCTTTGGAACCCATTTGTAGTTGGGTTTAACCGTTTTCTTTTTCGATTTGATGTGTGGCTCAGTTCTTGCTTTTGATCTTGATGTCGGCCGTTGAGATGACTTTGATTTTGGCTTCACAGGAGCATCTCTTGGATCTGGCTTCTTGGCCGGCATTCCCTTATTTCTCTTGGGATTCGGATTCTTGGCCTTGTAGGTTTGATTCTTGGCCTTTGGAGTTTGATTCTTGCTCTTCTGCGCATTCCAGTCATCATTGTCTGAACGTGACCTTGAGGGGTTTCTTTTGGAATATCTCCCTCTTGGCGCGTTCTGCCACCCTTGTGCATAGTAGGGAACGTATGCGCGATTTGAACAATGTCTGGCAATGTGTCCAGGTGTTCCACAGTGAAAGCAAGTCCTTTTCTTCACTGGGAAATTGTTTCTTCCTGCCCCAGGTGGCGTATCCTTGCCTTGTTTCTTGCTTTTCCCACACGCACAGTTACAACAGGCACTCTGTTTCACTGGAATTGGTGGCCTGTACTTCTCAACAACAGGTTGATTAGAAGCAACTGAGTTCGAAGCAACAAATTCAGGGCTCAAGGAGATGTTGGTTTGTTCAGTGGTTTTCTCCTTGTTCTCATCCTCTGCTACTTTACCTGTACATGAAGTAGAAACATTAGTATTTTCAACCTGAATACCTCCTGACACAAATCCAGCTGGTTTGCCATATTGAATATATGCCTCCCTGTCAATTTCTTCCTGTGTCGTAGGGATGGATGTGTAGTTATGATTGAAAGGTGGAGGAACACTATCATACCCTAGACCCTTGTTTTGATTATCTTTGAATTTTAATTGGGTTTCAAATAAGGATTCGACTGTCTTACTTGACGCAGTATAATTTTTGAAACTAACATCTGTTTTTCCACACTTAATTTTCAAAGCGTCAAGTTCTTCAGTTACAGCATCAAGAGTTGTCTCTTAATATAGTCATAATTTTCACACTTGTTGCTGAATTCTTCCTGAAGCTTCCTAAAGTCCTTT